GGTTAAGCGGCCCTGGATTCAATCCCCGGCACCAAAAGAAAAAAGAAATTCAGCTTCTTCACTGCAAGAAGATTCACTCTCTGAACTTTTCTTTCAGTCTCTTCATTTTCACCATCAAACACCAGAAGGTTTCTCACTGCCACTGCTGGAACACTCACTTGAACCATCTTGACCTACCTGGCAGGTCTCGGGTCCCTGGCTACAAGTCAGATATTTTCGGATGATACTTCACTTTCCTGGGCGCCAGAGGCTTGTGTACCGTTCCGCTGAGACTGCACTGAAATGGTTTCAGAATCCTTGACACCAGTGACACTTAAAGGACAGGCTTCAAATGTGACATCATCTAGGCCCAGGATAGATGACAACCTGGCGTCTAAAACGTTGAGAGTTGTTTCAATCTGTTGGATCCAAAGAGAAAGGTCTGTTGGTTTCTCCTCACAAACAGAAGAAAAGTCAAAGTGCACCACAAACTGATTTAGAAATGCCACCAATCTATTCTGTTGAACAGGTGGCACCTTGGTCACATCTATGCCTGAACCCATGAATGGAAGCCTGTCTCATCTCCCTACCTGGTGGGGGACCCACTGCCTCTCAGGCCTTCCTACTGGAAGGAACAGCTTCTCCCCTCTCTTCATTTGGCCCCTCTATCCACCTTTTATGACCAAGGGCAAATCCACATCCACCGGAAGTCCTCATTACTTTCTAGACCACCCTCTTCCTACTGAGCCATATAGCCTGTGGCTCCTGGAAACGTCAGTATTAGACTAACCCTGGGGCCACATAGTCCAGCATAACTCTTCATGTGGCCTCAGACCACCTTCCCAGGACCTCCCTGAGGATTTGCTAAGAATATTGACTTTAGAACCCTACCCAACACCCTATGGACCAGCCCCTGGGCACAGCTCCCATGATGCTGATCTATTCTCAAATTCAGTTGATTGTTCTGGGAAAACTGAGGGTCATACAAGAAGCATGACTCTCCAGAGTTTCACTACCAGTCAGCAGAGCACTGGGCAAGCTCCCAGGAGTCAGGACCTCCAGTCCAGGGCTTCTTCCAATGCATGTGAGGATCACCCAACACCAGCAACCTTTATCCTGAAACTTCTGGAAACGGGGGGGGGGGGGATCCCTGCAAAATTAAAAACCCTCTGAGATGAGCGCAGCATCCTCATGGTGTCCCCATCCTCCAACTGGTAAGACAAACCGTAAGCTAAAGTCACCCTGGTGGCCCTGGGCCCATTTCCCAGAGCACAGCAGGGCTCCCTGAAGACTCACACACTCACCGCACTGGACTTTCCATTCAGGAACAAGACGCCCTCCTCAAATCCCAACCTCTTCTCTACAGGGGGGACATTACCTGTTCCTCCATCTTGGCTGCCTGGGCAGCCCTGGCTCTGCACTCCCCCAGCCTGGCACTGGGGGAACGTGCTGATGTGAGCCACAGCACCCCCTTCCTGTCCCTAAGAACTAAGAACTTCATCTCCATTTCTCTTTCTCTCCTGCTCACTGACCTCCCTCAGTTTCTGAGAAGACAACTAAGTTCTGACTGGCTTCAGAACGCTCCACAACCCACCCCTTCCCCACTGGTTCCCCACAGGGACAAGCAGGTGCTGCCTCCAGCCCGCACACACTTGGGCACAGTTCCCTTGAGCTGAAACCACTTGTCTCAACCCAGTTGCCTCAGCCAGGGATTCCGGCCCACACTGGCTGTCTTTTCCTTGACTGGGCAGCAGCAGGCTCAACACTGCCCTCTCCCAGAACCTGTTCAGTCCCTTCACTTGCTAAGTCACCTAAGCTATCATTATTTGGTGATAACACTGGGTGATAAATTGTCCCTACCCTCCCAGTCTCCACCACAAAACCTGGCAGAGGCTTTAAGGTGCCTGAAGAATGGAGCCCGAACTGGCACGGTGGCATATGCCTATAATCTCAGGTGCTGTGGAGGCTGAAGCAGGAGGATCTCAAGTTTGAGGCCATCATGGGCAATTCACTGAAATCCTAAATCAAAATGAAAAGGACCAGGACTACAGCTCAGTGGTAGAGCCGGGATGCGAAGCCCTGGGTCCCATCACCTACACTGCATTAATAAATGAATGAATGAACGAAATCAGAGACCCAAGAGAGATGATGAGAAGTTGTCCTCCGCCCCCTGCCCGGTCCTAGACTCCGGGACCCGAAAGGCTGCCTTTGGCGCCATCTGGCGGCCAGGGCTGCGGAGCTGAGAGCAGACCCCGCGCAGGTATCCCGCGCGGCCTGCGGGGGCGGGTTCCCGCGAGCCCGGGGGAGGGTGTTGGGTACGGTCCCGCTTGGAGAGCCAGCTCCGCGTGGCCCAGGAAAGGCTCGACTCTGGATTCAGGCGGACCCGCCACTCTCCGCGAGCCCATGAGACCCGGTGCCTTCGTTCCCAGTTGGTGGCGGACGCAGACCAGGGATGCTGTGGGACGCAGGGCAGCCAGAGAAAGCATGTGCGTGCGCGTCCCCCGCCCCACGCAGCGCCCCGCACCGCCGCGCGC